TTCTTGCGATAATTATTTGAACTTTTTGCTCCAAGCTGTGGAAGAAAATGCAGGTTTAAGAGCGAAAACTGCGGTAACTTACTCATGACCACCTTGACCCAGAACTTTTTCTAGCTTAGTCGTGTTTAAATTCCACACAAAAATTTGGCCGTCTGCAGAACCAACAGCGCAGTACTCGAAACCTGGACTAAGCGTACATCTAGTATAGTCAAATGTTGAACGATACTGGTCTGCACTGAAAGTACATGGCTCACAAGCTGAAACATGGTCAGCGACTCAGATCATCAAAGAAACATAACCAACAAAAAAAAACAACACAACTGAAGAGAACCTGTATTCATGTTCTATTCTACAAGTTCTGAGGTCCACTAGAGAAAGTGTGTTATCTCGGCAAGAGCAGAGGACGACTTGTTTTTCTAAAAATATGCAATGTGCTTAGTTACAGTAACCGCCATTACCGCATAAAAATGTATTCATTGGTGAAAAACAGTTTAAAATATTATTTGAAATATCTCCGTTTTTCACGAGGAAATTTAGAAAAGATATAGAAATTTATTCTGAATACTGATTCAACCATCCTTTAACAAACTTTTATAAATTACTAAATGCAAACGATAGAGTTTGAATTAAAACACGTGAGAAACTAGAGCACAGAAATTTCCCAAATAAACAGTTAGATTCTCATTTTTAAACACGCCTATTTCCTTAACTGATAATCTATGCCACAACTCCACTAGAGCCAAAGTAACAGCGTCAAAAAAAAAGAAAACCCTTTCCTCTTTTAGAATTTTGTGTGGAACTATCGCTTTTGACTTTAATTTCAGTTTTTGAACCAGAATTAGAAAAGTAAAAAAAACAAACACGAAAAAGAACTCATTACACCGTTAAGAAGATACCAAAACCTTTTTGGTTAATTGGTGTATGCTCAACACATTTCTGACAACATTTTAAAAAAAAATTTGTCTTGCCATTTTCCAAAAAAACTCATCGGTCTGAAAAGCCCGGCAAAAACAGCAAGAAAGCTAAGAGGAAGAACTCAAAGAAACTATCTGCAATTAAAAATATGTGAATTTCCACATCAGTAATCTATGAAAAAAACGGCAGTTTGCTTTATTTTGCGAATCAGGTTTAAATACCACCTGTGAGAAATCTGAAACTAAACAAAAGCCAAAAAGCCATTCAAATTACCTACCTGCAGCTAAAGAAAGGGAAGTCACGCGGCCATTTAGCTCCACAGCACGTACAAACGCGCCCGATGTAATATCCCATAAGCGCACCTGTTTGTCAAAATGACCACTGATCACCATAGCGTTATATAATGGGTTTGAAACCAAATCAAACACAGTAGAAGCAGGAAATAACGTCTTAAGACCTAGAAAACGAAATAAACTGAAGAAGCACAATAGCAATAGATTCGTTGAAAATATTTTAATTTTTCTTTCTCTTTTTAATCTTCTGCCTCAACCACCATCCACACTTCTCAGTACTACTAAAAATTACTGTTTCAACAATGAGATAATTTACGTCGAAGTTTCTACGCAAGATATTATAAATAAGAACAACGATAAGCAATGAGGAAAACCCTAAGTGACATCTTACACTTCCTCGTCGATAAGTCCCAAATTCTGATCGTCCGATCATGTGATCCTGATATAACTTTTGTTCCATCTGCGTTGAACCTTGCTGTCGCAACTTTATCGCTATGGCCTGTTAAAGTGTGCTGAAATCAGTGACTATTAAAAGCGAGACCAGAAATAAGGAAATAACACTGAGTGGAAAAAACTTCAAAAGTAGCACTAATGAAGATTACAAAATAATGAATCTTTCGCATGTTTCCCAGAGATGTATTTCAGATGTAAACGCATACTCTTGCTCTTAAGTCGTCAACACCCCATATACGAATTGCAAAGTCAGTTCCTGCTGCCAATATTTGACGCGTTTCGGAATTAAAATCTATTCTCATTATAGAACCATTCATACCAGTTAAAACAGCTCTTCAAAAAAGATTTTACCGTAAGAGTAAAATAAAGGTGTAACATTCTTCAAGGAAAAATAGAAAAACAAACTTCTTTTCCTGTTTCCCGCTAACAATATCGTAAATACGTACTTTCCTGTCCGTACCACCAACTGCAAAACATTGCCCTGTAGGGAACCAGTGAACATCAAACACCTCACCCTCAGAACATTCCTGTGAAGCAAAACAAGAATGAGAACTAAAGTTTATCCTCAGCATATACAGTGAAAAAGATTCCAAGAACATCCAACATCTATGCTAATTTTGAAAAGCTTACAAATTTTAACACACTCTTCCCGGGTAGAATGTCACCCACACACTGCGCTATTTGACTTTCCTCAGTATTTTCGATTATTTCAAACCTAAAATTAGATGTTTCTTGTTTATCACTTCCCAGTCACTAGAAGTCCGCAATAAAGAAAAAAGGAGTATGTATTTCTGCACCACGCAGGAAAGCGTTTGTATATTCACCACCCTGTCCTCATAAAATCCCGCAGCAGTTCTCAGAAATGCCCTGTTTCCATAGTGGGTGCCACGATTCGCACAGTTAGAACAGTTGTCAACAACAGCCTCCTATCAGACTCTAACTTCAATAGGCAGTAGTAGCCGAAGGAAGTGCAGAAGAAGCTCACATCAAGTGAAATCCTTGTGACTTTTTATTATACTAATGACAAACATTTACAGCTACGGCGAAGATTTTGGAAAATTACGTGTAGGCAAGTTCATGTCAATATATCCACTTTCCCAGTCAACCTCTCCAAACTTTGGCAACTTGTAGGAACAGCTTCTGCGAAACCAAAAAAAAGTATCTCCTTCGAGAATTCATTGAAAAATCTAACCGTCTCAAGGCCACGAGACTGAGGAAAAGCACACATTAGCCAAATATGAAAGAGATTACAGTAAACAAGAAGTCCACAATGTCCTACTTGAAAACAAAAATTTTAAACTTTTTCAAAAAGCATGTGTCTCCTGAAGTCCCAGTTTTTGCATAACACATTAAAATTACAATGTGTTATCTTCTTGGTACCACTAGTTTCAGTGCGAATAGTGAGGCAAAAGTACAAAAAATTCTCCTGACGAGAGTATTCTGACGCCCTGCAAAACGTGCGGTCCTTCTTCTCAGCTGAAATACTATTTTACTGAAACAAGCTTTAGTCTACTTAACTGGGAAAAGTTTTTGCTATTACTTAGCTTAAAAGTTAGAAAGAGGGCATTATTCTAATGGCTGTTCACTGATCCGTATTGCGCTCTTCGTTACTAGCTTCTTTGAAATGTTTGAAAAAATTATCTGCCTTTCCGACGAAGCTGCTTCATAAAAAGTAAAAAGGAAGAATTTTGAAGTCCTGTGTCATTACCACAAAAGATAGAAGCAAACAAAAGTAAATTTTCCCGTTTTTCAGCTAGTATAAACATCCTTCCTTTTAATATTGCTTCCACTCCTCCCACATCTAAATTCGATGTTTTTCATTGTAAGGTCCTTCTTCACAAGTCTCTTCAGCAAGTAGCTTTTGTCACACAATTGCCTTTCAACAGCAGTTTCTCCAGTTTACGCGAGACTTTTACTTAATTCCGCAAAAAAGATACTAGGACAAATGGCCAACTGGAAAATGCATACTTGCAAATTCCAAAAAGAATGGAAAAAGCTTGAAAATTATGAACCTGCACAGTACTTCTTTGCAATAAAAAAAGGTCCTAAATAATGCTTTTCGTTCTCAGCCATCATATTAAAAAACAGACATGTGCTGCAACTTCTGGCATTATTGAAACTTTAGTAAATCTTCTTTCCAGATCTACCAGAGTAATTTGTAAATAATTCTTGTCTGCCGCAGCCTGGCTGAAATGGATCAAAACAGAGAGTCGTAAAAAACCAGAATCTTTCGGGACTACTACTTCAAAAAACAAACAAATTAATGAGGAGGAAGCTGTTTTTCGGTTAGTTGCAACTCTTCTTTTCTTTCCTGTCTTTATTAAAAGCTCAGCCGCACCAAATCTTCGTTACAATTTTTCTTCACAAGCCTTTGTCTTTCGGTTGTACCGTGTCAAAAATTTCTACTTCTGCAGAATTTCCACAAGAGCCTTTGCTCAAAAAAAAGTTTAACCATACGCTACCAGGACAGTTATCCCAAAAAAATATTCGCTTTCGACAGCCTGTACTGAGTGTCACGCATTCCAATCAAAACAGTTCTATGAAAAAAAGTTATAAAAATAAAAAATAGCCATTATAATTCTTTCCCAAAAAGAAACTTCTCTACACTTCTAAAAAGAAAAAACCTAAATCAAACATTCCCTGTCGAACTACCCAGACCATATTATGTTTCAAAATTACATCTTAGTTGAAACCAGAACGTTTCTGCAGAGCCCCAAAAATGCTGCATCAAACAAAACATATATATTTTTAAACTAATATTTATTTAAACCTTAAAAATAGTGGGAACAATTCTAACACCATGTTACTTTTGGAAAATAAATGTATGAAAGCCCGGAACCCTCAAAACAACAAACATTGTGAAATACAGTTCCCACAATTGAAAAGTTGCGGTTTACCATGAAACACCCACTCCAATTTGAAGAAATTTTACTCCTCCTCAAAATTACCTTACTCAAAATCATGTAGTTACAAAAATTCCTTAGTTTTCAGAGAACTTCTATGTTTTTAACACTAAAGTGCATCCAAACCCCGAGGAAATGACCTCATCAAAACCGACATGCTTTTTCTAAAGAAACTCCAAAACATCGCAAAAAAAACAGTCCGTATGAAGTGCTGCTTTTTAAAGAATCCGGAAAGAAAAAAAGACTTCACTAAAATAGGGAGAATAATAGACCGTATTATTAGTATACGCAGCGACAAGTCCAGGCAATGAGTAGAAGCCATAGAACAAATGAGTTTAGAAGAAAAACACTTTTTTGCGAAAATCAGCGTATCAACCAGGTGCTCAAATACAACCAACAATGGACTAAAGCGGAAAACTGTCCATTGGTGAAGCAGAGACGCTGCACGAAAAATGTCCCATGAATTACGAGCTATGCGGAAAAGGGTATAAGTCCTCCAAACACGCAGTAAGAAAAGCGTTGTTCATACTCACACAGAAAAAAGTGCATTTGCGAAGAACCACTTGAAATGGACCATTCAGGTTTAGACAGAATCAAATTTGAGTTCCTTAACAGCCAATTAGGAATTTATTTTGAAAGGCAAAACGGTAAAGTCCATTTCCGTCAAGGGAAAGGTTAATAATTTGACTACCAAAAAAGCCGCCGTTTTCGACTGAAGATTAAGAAAGACAAGGGACGATAGAGCACAAAGTCACCAGAGACCACTAAAATCCACAGAAGTGGCTGCTGTACTGAGTAATGACCTCTAACTACTTACCAGGCGAGTTAACTCTGTAATAGAACAACGAGTCTAAAAACGCATCAACAAAGACTGGAACATCAACAAGAACGCATCAACAGAGGTTGACAAAAAATAACACTAAATTCTTCGAACGTCTCTCAAAGCAGTCTCACTTTAACCTTTCTGACACCTTAGGAAAACCTTGAACAGATAAACAAGGTTTAAACGACCCGAAAACACCGCAGAACCCGTAGCTGCTGCTAAGATTAGTTGTATCAAAATTCCACTGAATGCTTTCAAAAACTGACCGACTGCATGCATCAACAACTTTGGGAAGCCATCAGGTAAGATTTCTCAACGAAACATTTGAGGTAAGAAATGGTACTACTTTAGCAGTCCGTTTTTTTTTTTTTTGATCAAAAGGAAAAAAAATTTCTCAAAGGAGTTTTCAGACTTATTATCCTGTTAATCAGTGCTAGTTGCTAAGTAACCAAAGCTTTCTCCTCTCCCACTGAAAAATATTCAAAACGCGTATTATGTTCAGATTTGGTTTCCTACAAAATACACTAAAGGCAGTTCAAAGGGCAACAGCCTGTAAAGACTTCCAAACAAACGATTTTTTCCAACTGATGTCAAAAATATTCCCACTACTTTTTCCTTCAAACTTTCCATATCTTACTTTTCGTCCGATGAGGGAGGAGAGTTTGAAATGGACGAAATTATTTCTGCCTGTCGCATACGATCCCTTTCTCTAAAATCTCAAACTTTATTTAGAACAAAAAGTGCTAATAACTTTTGAGAAATAGGATTATGACCGTTCATTATGATTCAAAAAAACCAAATTTTTTTAATGAATTAACCTTTCTTCCCTTTCATTCTGTTCATTTAAAAGTTTAATTTGTTCATTCTTTGCTTCCTTCAAATTCTCAATCAACTTCAAGTTCTCCTGCTCCACAACTTGAGTCCTCTGAGCCAAATTGTCATAGGTAACCTGAATCAAAAAATAGAATACTTTTTAAGAGCTTTCCTAATGCCATTGTGAGCAAAAAAATTTTGTAGATTTCTCTGCCTTCCCTTCAACGTAACAAACAGAAACGCAACTTTGAAAACCAAAAATGAGAAACAAATTTGAATTGTCTTTTTGTCACACAACTTTGAAAAATCCTGCGAAAATGAGACGTGCTATAAAGAAAAGTTTAAAAAAGCCTCTACTGAGTCACCGGAAAAGTGCGTTATTGAGTTAAATTTTTAATTTAAAAATTGATCGCCTTGCTGACACTTGAGGTCAGATTATTTTCAGATTCTAAGAGTGCTAGAACTGTAGAAAAAATAAAAAGAAAAGTAAGTACTTGTAAAGCTAAGTGTTCATCCCTTAAAATTCTATTAGAGTCAAACAAGGTGTTATTCTCCTCCTTCAATGCCTTCAATTTCTTCCTGACCTCTTCGAGTTCGGCCAACGTAGCATCATGCCTTAAAGTAAAAAAGTAAAAGAATACAGTTTTGTAAAGTAAAAAGATATGCTATGATTAAAAGTTCTAGATTCAAAGCCCTCTGTATAACTAAAAAAGGCAAGACAACTACCCAAAAAAGCTGCCGACAACTCCACAAAAAAATTTTTTTCAGAAGGTTGTGAAAGTGAAACACTACAATTTTGCACGTTTTTACTTTGCCTGTAATTCCTCAAATTTCTTCTGAAGGTTTTCCAAACGATTATTTGTCTCTATTAGTTGTTGGTCATTCTGCTCCTTTTTCCGATAGAGCTCAGAAAGTTCTTCACGTAGTTTTGAATCAGTTTCGTTACCTCCTCTAAAAGCAAGAACTCGATTGCTGCACATTAGAGAGACGTTCCATAAAAATTTATTAACTCAGGACAGAAGAGGACTCCAACTAAGAAAAATCAACTGCCCGAAGTTTAAAAGTTACTCAGGAAATTTATTACGCAAAAGACAAAACAAATGAGGATTTAGAATTCTAGAAAATCCTACCCATTAACTGATGACGATCTTAAACGCCCTCGACTACCTAGTTGTGCCACATAGTCTGTTAACTCATTATCTGTAAGACTAAATTTTACCCAACATAAACAGAAAGAACACTTAAAAACCTTGGGAGATTATATCACAGCAATCCGGCCAATAAAAAATTTTAGAAAAAAAATGACAAACAACTTTAAAGCTTTCATGTTCTACGTGCTGGTAAGATAACTTTCCAAGAATATAAAAAAAATTTAAAAATCACATGCGGCAAATAGAGGTGAAAATTGATCGCAAACTTCATTTCTACTTTTCAAACGTTCAAGAATAATAGCTCGAAAATCGCCGTCCATATGCAATTTTCGTCCTCTTAATATAGGTGATAATTGAACGAATAGTCAAAGTAAACGCATTTCCTGAAACGTACACTTATGAACAATCAAATATTCTCAATCTGAACTGGACAGCGACAACTCAGAAACCATGTGACTCCCCTAATAAGTTGAAAGCAAATTTTTGAGAAAAAAAAAAAAAGAAAAACGAAACAAAGATAAAGAAAAAGATACAAAATATCACGGATCCAAGAATGGTTCCTTTCACTTACAAGAGTTGGTATCACAGAGTCCTATATCCCCAAAGTGACAAGTATTAAAATAACTCTTTACGCTCACTTAACCGCATAACAATAGAAACATCAATAAAATTGTACTTTACGGTAAAAAAACAAATCGATTTAATGCACTCAGAACTAAAAAGCATTGCGACATATAGCAATGTTTTTAGTTAAAGTTGGAAAGTAAGTGTAGCAATACTTGAGTTCGAAAAAACAACGAAATAATGAAACGCTTAGAAATAACTGACATATAAAAACCCGCTCTCACTATTCTAACCACGATGAAGCGTCCGCACGAACGTTCGTTTGCTACTTTTCGGTATCAGAAAATCGGTATTGTGAAACTCAAAAATAAATTAGAAAAAAAAAGAAAACGAGTATGTAATTATATAGCTGTTACAGATGTAACAGAAATTACATAGCGCAGCGCTCTAACCATTTGTGGCCGTCTAACGATGGCATGAAGATAAATAATATCACGTGCGAGTCTGCTGTCCGCTTCCGGCACTCACTGCCCGACATTTGTCCTCTTGCCGTCTGTAAGCACTGAGAACCCTGGATGCAGAACCGGTTCTGAACATAGCAGGCAGCATCGCAGGTTTCTTTGTCACTGCTGAGTACTCAAAAAAAAAAGA